TCTGGAAAATGAACAGTGAGTTTGGGAAGAGAAGGAACAGTTGGCATAAGTGTATCTAGACAACTAAGAAAGTGATGCTAAGAGTTGCAAACTGCCATATCCTGGAAGGAATATTTCACTTTGGAATTGAACTAACTGGTTCCTGTACCACTTCTGCTTAAGTAAGGGTGTACCGTTAGCTAATTCTATTCAGCTTCCCAATCCATAAATTGACATCTATTCTAATTCTTAATGGTATAGTGAACATGAAATGCAATAATGTTCATCAAGTGTTTTGTGAGGCATTAAATACAGTACAAACATGAGATTAATAATTTCTCTTATAGTCCTGACATTGATTTACCTCCTCAATCATCTCTACAGTTGAAATCTAATTCAAAGATATTATCTTCAGCATTACTTGACCCTGTTACATCTATTTTAATTTGTAAAATTTGGCATCATTTAGAAAACAATCAGGGGGCCCTCAGGGGCTCTGAGCTGGGCGTGGGACTCCTGAGAAAAATCAGGTATGGACCATGCTCTCAAAGAGCTCACAATACAGAGGCAGCAGGCTAAATAAATGATTTGAAACAGCATGAGATCTGCTTAATTAGGGCCCAGAGGAATGAGCAGTTACTTCTTCCTACAGGGAGGAGCGTTTAAAATCAGTACCAGGATACATTTCTACTGGATAGTGTAAAATACATGAAGTGCTAAGTCATTTTCCTGTCTCTTGTTTCTCAGTCAAACCTCAGACCTCTGTCATATCTCAGTCAAACCTCAAACTTCTCAGGGATAGGAGCAGCTTTCTCACATCTGAATGGGTCCCTTATGAGAGAGCAGGAACTATCTCCGTCTTCATCTGGGACGGTGCACAGTATAAAGTGACTGTGTATTTGCAAGCTTCCCTTAGCATATCTCTCACTTAGCACAGCAGAGAAGAATTAGGTTGAAATAATCAGTCAGATGAATGATGCAGAGGTGTACGGATAAGGCAGCATGAACTTTATAAAACATGAAAGTTTGAATGAGCTTGTAAGTACTTTAGAGAATGGAGTATTGGATTAGACTGAACCACTACTCACTGTGATCTCAGGCATAATCAAACATTTCTGTACCTCAGTTTTCTCATCCACAAAATGCTTATGCTTATAGTACCAACTTCACAGGATTGTCGTGAGGGTTTGAGTGAGTTTATTCATATAAAATGCTCAACATAACGTCTGAAATATCGCAAAATTAAACAAGTGGTAGTGGTTATTGTTGCTCTTGTTAAC